TCGCCAAATGAAAATATATTATATGATATATAGCTATAGCCTTCCTCAATATACGGGCTATCTAATGCAATAACAATTTTTGAAATCGGATTAGTAGTTCCTGAGATTAGCGCGTTCAAACAAACAAACAAACTCTGCCTATTTATAATATTAGTTTAGATTTACATAGGTAGGTATACTGCAGTGACCAGTAATGACATTCGCTACACAACAGCACAAGTAAAACGACATGAAATAATGGACCGGTACTCGCTTCACGGAAGGTGAATTTACAAGCAAACAGTCTTGCACTAGACTTATTATACATTCAAGAAGCTTGCGAGTGCATATTTGTTGAGCGCAAACAACACCGCAGCACCTCGCAAGCAATAGGTACCTATAAATATAACACGTAGGATTTGCAAACGCTCTTAACTGAAATGAAAGGAAATTTAACTTTATTAAATTAGACTTATTACAAGCACTTTTGAATCGTATTTCGATTTTTTTTAATCTTTCTTTTTTTGAATCGCACTTTCTTCAATATTTCACCTTTTCGCATTTCAACCAATAAATTATAATACATTCGGTACTTTAAATTTAATTAAAAAAAGAATAATGCAGATATTAATTCGTGGAAAGATGAATAGATCTCTTGCGTTAACCTATGAAAATGAGCAATTATGGATTTAATGGTTATATTAGAATTATATTATTAATTTATACAGTGTTTTTATTAATGCGAGACCAAGTGAGTTTGCAACAGGTATGCAGTAATCGACGACGTAAGCTTGGAGAGTTGCGGTTGACTGGATTTTACAAACGTAAGTATTTAGTTACATAGCTAGGGTTTAGCAATTATATTTTTATATGGAAACTAGAGCGCTGCTTACATATTTGTAAGATTTTTTAAGATTATTTTAATTATATAAATATAAATTTGTAACCTAAGTATTATAAAAAAAATCTAAAATGATTACCTAAAATTAAACGTATGAAACGCACCTTTTTTTGGTGACGACAGAGGGGCGCTATCAGAGCGGCGCTATCCGCCGATTTGTGCCCTTGCACCTTACGACTTACGTTACACGTGTTATATTGTTTATTTACAGGATGTACATTTAGCCATGACCTACGTCAATATTGATATAATCCTGACAGATAGGATGTTTGGTTCATGCTTACACAAAATATATTAATATATTAATTATTTATTAAAGAACTACATTTGAAGCATCTTATTTCCATCACAAACGAGCGCTTAATAATATATTTTAGTTACCACGAGCTATAAATGAATCAGCATGTAAGTAAATTTCAATTTGACCGCGCTTATCGATCATTCTCCTAACATCGGACTCTTAAATAGAACTAGCCGTGACCTTTACTGACTCTTATCAAAATTAAATTCCGCCCAAGTAATATCTGTGGGACATATATTTTTGTATACCTTTTATATCGAATAAATGGTTACAGCTTAAAAACCGGATGCATTCATTGAAATTTTATAGTTCAAGGCCCCGCGTCGCTCTGATTTAGTTTATTTTTACTTTTATAGCTCACTACTGTGCTTTTGAACGTCATCAACATCCGCATCGAGCCGGTCGCGTATGTATGTACGTACGTAAGTATTCGTGTAGGATTGTATTTGCAAAGGAAAAGTCACTGCAAGAAATATAAAATAGTTCGATATATGGTGGTAATAGTCCTTGGTTGTTATAATTTTACAATACATACATAATTGTATTGAATAACGCCTGAAACAACACTATTATTGTCAGTCCATTGGGTTTGGCAAAACAAACGTCGCAAGCTATCTGTGTCGATGTTAAAGAGTCATTCATTAAATTATTCGTCATTATGCCACAATGAAGGCAATAAATTGAACTATATATATTTGTCACGGTCTTAAAACGGAATAAGAGAGACGTCTATAAATTATTATATTAATATAAGCATATAATATAATCACTGGTTAAGATTTTAATCATTAGTAGTTATAGATAGTGTTATTGAAGCGCAACGAAACTGAAAGAAATAACTTTTGGAAATGTAGAGGTCGGTCACGGCCACTCCGTCGGCCAGAGTCGTCGTCGTCGATAGACGCCGGCAGCGTTAGTTGGCAGCCGCGCCGTTACCTCATCCATTGTTGTATTCTCATTCATGATATCAGCGTTGCTCACGAGTTGAACATCAACTACACACATAAATAAACTGAAACATCCATGTTTAAGTATCAAAGGAATTTTCTTTGGATATTTTTAAATTCAAATCATCAAAGCCAACTGTGATTTTTATGCGGAGCGAATAAATGGTAATTTTATGGACAATATTTACGATCTATGGAAACGTACGGACGCGTCCACTGCGTTACTGTTAGATGAACGAAACAGCTACACTTTTATGAATAAAATCGAATGTTATGGAACCCACTGTCACTTAGTTCGACGAATGGAGATTGGAGTCATTTAAAGCTAATTAAATAATGTACATTTAAATTATTTAAACATTAATAAACCTGAAATATGAGATGTAATTATATAAAATAATTGGTTTGCTCGAATATATCGAACTATATTAAATACATCTTCTCCATGTTTACTCGAGACTTTAAAGGCATATTAGGTGTATGATTATCATGAGTAGACAGAAGTAGGCTTCTATATACTATGTAAGTACATATATGTGCCTATTCACCGCGATTGTTTGCAGTCCACTACGAGAGATGATCTCACGGAGCGCACTCCTACAGCTGTGCAATAAGTAATGCGCACACTTGTAGGTGTAGATCAATCAGAGATTTCAATGGAATCTCTTATTTCAGGTCGCGACCTACGAATTACATGTCTAAAGTCTAAATCTAACGAGGCTAGTTGCAATAATATGATAATATCTAAATATGAAATAAAACTTAAATACATATGTATTCAATTTTTTCAACGGAGGTTTAATGTGTAATGTTATTGAACGGGTACGATATTGTGAAATACATGAGTACGCCAGTTTATTTTTCTAAGAATGTTTTGAAATGATAGGTCGCTATGAAATAGAAGCGCAATATGTATAGCAATAGTTGAACGAAGCGATGTCGAAACTGCACACAGACGAGTCACCGAGGCACGCACATGTGGGACAGAAACGTATAGATATAATATTTCAGGGCCATTCACAAATTATGACATCAGTCAGTGTTCGCGCTCTTTGAACAAAATAGGTTTGTGATGAGGAAATACTTATTTATCGTAAAAAAATACCTATTAGCTAATGAAAGCTAATTATGATTTGGTTTGGTAAGAACCCAGCCATAAACAACTTAATAAATGCTTAATATAATTACACTCAATTGAATACGTACGGAACTCTACGAACAATAAAGTGATAACGCTGATAACAGGAACAAAAATAAAATCCTCCTTTTTCTTTCACCTTAAATACCTTAATCTGACTTGTGTACTCGTATATGGTAGCTAGGGTATGAAATTATCAAGATAAATATAACTTTTGATAATTATCGCGATAATTATCAGATAATTATCCGATAATTATCAAACATATATAAACTTAGAAATCCTTGTGTAGGTATTGGAATTCGACTACTTGCCTATCATAATTTACGTTACAATAAATTATACACTTTTAACAATCAAGGTAATATTTTATTATTATTATTTTTTCATTATTTTGACATATAAAAACTATGAAATAAAAACAGAATAAATTTAACCGACTATATAGACACTATTTAACTAAATTAAAGGTCTCTGCCCACTACACCGTCTCATACCATGACAGTGAGGTAGGCAAAGAAATATTCTTTGTATTGAAAAGTATGAGAGTATGAGACCTTTCCGTAACCAACCAACACCTCAACTGCATTAACTCAGTTAGCGGATTGAGTTTTTTGAGCTGATTGAGAGAGTTCAGTTTGCTGATTGACAATTTGAAGAGTTACAAATTAAATATTTGCAATTATATTTATCAATGATAATTATCTTTGATAAATATGGTTTCGAACCCTGATATGTACACATAATAAGATCATAGTTAGCTAGACATAAAACGGGAGATAAACATTAAATACAGAGAATCACCTAGCGTAGCTGTACATAACAACCGTCGATATGCTTCAAGTAAACAAGCATAGATTTGAAACAGCATTATATTATATAAAATTATAGTGCCTGTCTATTTGTAGATAATAGGGACCTGTTGATCAATGATCACTCCTCAGATGATCAGACGGCACTCGGCAGTCGGCGCCCACGCGGGGCAGCCTGCGCGCGCTCTACGCACGAGCACCGTAGTCGATACCGTTACTATTGGGGCGGAGTTCTTTTGAACTGTGACCTTCGAAGCGAAACAAGTCGACGCCCCCGGGGAATAAAATGGTTATGCGCTATTACCACTTTTTTAATGTTTTTGCATTTTCGGCATCTATGGTGTCGATATACACCTACTGATTTTTTTTAGATTTTTTGACAGAAAATTCATAAAGTTATAACAATTTTTATTTTTATTCTACGGAAATCATGTAACAAATTCTTCCCGTAAAAACATCGTAGTCGTTCATTATGGAACGAACGCATGTCGCGAGAAATCTGTAAGGCATTATACAATTTTATTCACGTAAATAAATTGATAATTCTTTTCAATAACATGCTTTACCTAAATTAGTTTGGTAAATCTTGAACGGTAAACGTATATTACTGCTTTATTATTGACATAATTATCAATACTATTTCACGTAAACACCTATTACAATATTCTTTATGAATTTGAAAACATTTAATAATTTGATACTATTTTTTTCTCCTTCTATTAATAGAGTATTTGGTTATTATTGTCTTTTTCGCTCGAATTTCGACAAGTTTTTACAAGTTACTACGCGCGGGCGGCGTGATCATGCACAATAATCAATCATTGCGTAATTTGAAGTCGTTGGGATGTGACGGTAGTCTATTGTTTACAAACAAATAAACATAATTAGTATTCTGTGATAATTATAATATATAAATTTAACCATGGAATATCGGCATAAAGGATTACGAGCTAGAAGAATTCTTAAAATGGTTGAGGGAAGGGAAAGTGGTAAGTATTTTTTTTTAAATTATTACGTAAATAGGTATATTATTGAAATAAAAATTTAAAAGGAGGAAATTCGTATACTTACCTGCTTATTTCTCTTTTTTAGTTAAATACCCACCTCCTTAGGTATTATGCGTTCTGTGTATTATAAACATACATATTGTTCATATTCGTATGAGCTCAGATATGATAGCCTCCCATAAATATTTTTATGAACCTTATTATTATTATGATCGTGTCTAAACTCTTAGTGTGGTCTGTTAATTTAACCCTAACTTAAGTTAGTAGGTATTAGTCTAGTGTTTAGTGACCCTCACTGCTAAGCCGGAGGTTGTGGGTTCGATTCCCACCCAGGACAAATCTTTGAGTGATGAGCATGATTATTTGTTCTGTGTCCGGGGGTCTGGTTGCCATAATAGGTACCTACCTAAAAGCTATGCCTAGTATGGGATTAGATAGCCGTGTGTGATTTATCTGAATATTATTACTTCTTCTTTCTGCTACTACTAACTTTCAATAATTATTTCATTACAGGGTCTGAAGATAATAATGATGTTGAAATGCCTGATATTCTTCCATTTGACGGCATAGCAACAAAAGTTTTAATTGGTACGTAGATACCTGCTCAATCTGTAAAACGTGAGTTTGTTATATTATTTTATATTAATTTAAGTATAATAATAATATCTGTTAATATTTTAGATGTACCGACTACATCTTACGGTGAACAAGGTGACAATGTACAGGAACCATCTTTAGATATATGTGAATTACAAACAGTAAACCTAACTCGTGAAAATTCTACTGAAAATGAAATGCTATCCAGTTCAGGTGCAGATTATATTGACATTATTAATCACCAGCTTATAAGAACACCAACATCAGTATCAAACCTTTCTTTTATATTAGACAATGTTGATTTTGTTGCTTCGCCAGATGGGTATATTATTCATGCCAATAAAAGTAAATCGAATACGCCGACTCTATTTGATTGCACAATACAGGAAGATAATACTATTTTAGACTCAGATGATAGAAACCTCGATGAAACATTAGTTCCCATTGAGAATAATAATAAAGGTTCTGTACATAGCATAATCGATGTAAAAAATGTCAATATTGATATAAATAAGACTTTAACGCCTCAAAATAGATCTAATTTAAGCCCCAACGAGATGGTTACAATTATAAATAGCGATAAAAGCCCAAGGCAACAAGGTATAGTGGAGAATGAAGATTCTGTAACATTACAAGTATTAGGTACATCTGAATCAGTATCACTCACTACAATTTCAGTATCAGGGTCACTGCCAAGCAGTTCTATTGAACCTACTGATGACGACGATAACTCTCTCTCTATCACAAACGACTTAGCCCGTAAGCGACGCCGAAATGAAAAAGAATGGATAGCCAATAAATCTAAAACTTTAAAAAACTCTGGAAAAGCCTATGTTGGATGTCATTCTAAAAAGCAGTTCCTTGCAAAATCGGTAGGACCTTCTTGTAAATGCAAATTGAAATGTGGTGAAACGTTTTCCTATAATAAAAGGAATGCCATTTTGGAGACATTTTATAAATTAGGTGACCATGAGTTGCAATGGCAATTTATAACTAAATACATTATGTCAGATTCTGTCAAAAAACTTCAAGTTGTTCGAAATAAAAACCGAACTCAAACTATAAGTTATTATTTGCCATCAGAGAATAATAAAGTCCGTGTATGTAAAGTATTTTTCCTAAATACTTTACGAATATCCGAACAAATGGTTTACACTGCTATAGAAAAATACAATAGTGATTCTGACAAAACTGACTATAGAGGTAAACATAACAATCGACCACGCAAAATGTCAGTTCCAACAGAAGAAAGCATCATATCACACATAAAATTATTTCCAGTAAAAGAAGCACACTATGTTAGAAAATCTTCCAAAAGAAAGTATTTATGCGAAACTTTGAATATATCAAAAATGTACCGTTTATACACAGATTGGTTCAAAGAACAGACAGGTTATAGTGATGTTAAGATGGCTACCAAAAGGCAGTATGAGACTATATTTAATACAAAGTTTAATTATTCTTTTTTTCATCCTAAGAAAGATTTATGTGGTACTTGTACGCTTTATGAACAAGCAGAAGGCGAACATAAGGAATCATTAAAAGATAAATACACAAAACATATACATAATAAAGAAAGAATTCGTGAAATCAAAAATTCAGAAAAGGAAAATCTTAACGCAAACTTCACTCTAGCAATTTTTGATTTAGAAAAGGTTTTAGGCGTACCTCAGTCAGAGGTAGGAATATTCCATTATAAACGGAAGTATCCTGTGTATAACTTCACTGTTTTCGATGCTTCAAGAAAGAAAGGATACTGTTACATGTGGCATTTGCAAATTGCTAAAAGAGGATCAATAGAGATAGGTAGCTGTCTTTATAATTTTATTGAAGAACAATATCATAAACAAATAAATAAAATTTCATTTTATTCTGATGGTTGCGCAGGACAGAATAAAAATAGATTTGTGTTTGCCCTTTATCTGTTTGCTGCTAATAAGTTCAAACTGGAAATTGTTCATCGTTTCTTTGAATCTGGCCACAGCCAAAATGAAGGTGATTCTATGCATGCATGCGTAGAACGAGCAATGAAAAATAAACAAATTTATACACCTGATCAATTATATGGTATAGTTATGAATGCTAAACAAACTGGTGAAAAATACAAAGTCAAGGAAATGAGACAAGACAATTTTTATGACATAAAATCATTGATTACTGGACAAAATTGGCTAAATGATGCAAAAGGTAACAAAATATATTGGTCAAAGATCAAAGAAATAAAAGTTGCCCATACACATCCACAATCTGTTTACTTTAAATATGATTATGATGACGACTATATTGAAATGAATATAAGGTCAACTACAACTAAAAATACTAGAAAACGAAAATCTGCCTCTACCGCAGCAACTTCGTCTATCGCTGATGACGTGACATTGCAGCCAGCTTATAACGGTCCAGTTCCAATTTCTAAAGCTCTACACGAAGACCTATCAAGTCTTTGTAGGATTAACGCCATACCTCTCCATTATCACAGTTTTTACAAATCTCTGATAAGCACAAATAATACTGAAGCCGTTTTAGGTGAGGATGACTGTGACAGTGAGAGCAATGAAACAGACTGATTGATTTTTTAGAACTAAGACTGATTAATGCCTATTGTAACAATTGTGATTTTCTTAAATAAAAATTATGTTTATTATACTTACTTCATTGTTTATTTTATTTAAGTTTTTACAATATGTAGGTACTGACTGAGTGTAGAAAAGCACCCACGAAGTACCCGATACCTAGTGGTATTACAGTAACTAGTGGTGTTACAATAATTTATAACCAAAATTCATAAACATTACTGCATATTACGATGAACTCTCTAAGCACATTTATACAAAAACAAAGTCGTTATATAGCTATACGAAAAAAGACACTGGTAGTTTTACAAGAACAAAATTGTATTAGTTTATTACAATTACCATTCATTCATGAAAATACTGTAGAAAAACATCGTAATGTAGGGATATAGTTTACATGATATTACAATTTCACGAGAATAAAATCGTTATGTGCCCTTACTTAGGATACACTTAAATATAAAATCAGTATTATACATCTTTCGTAATAACTTTAAAAGTATACATTATATATTTTTTTATTATAGCTACTTATTAAGAAAAAAAATACTGAAAAAAATGATGTATTGTATGTTAATATAGGCCGATTAGTTTATGAGCTAAAACAGAATAACAGTTTTTTGCTCGTCCTGTAAAATTTACTTTTGTCTATTACGATTTTATTCCCCGGGGGCGTCGAAGTGTTATTGTATCCAAAAGGTGACCTGGCAACCAAGCCAGGGTCTTTATTATGTTTGTATTGTACTATTTTTTGGGTCATTGTAAATTGATAATTGTAGATTCTATATTAATCATATTTCCAAATATAACATTAAATAGTTGAATGGAAGAAGAAAAGGCTACTAATTGCTATAACAAATACTATGTGAAAGAATTTTACTTGTTTACTCATGAGTGTAGACAGTGTGCACTAAGCACTAAGCAGAGTGCCCACGTGGCAAGCTGATCCTTAAGTTGGCATCGGTGCGGGCTGCGAATACGAAACGACGCGATGATGTCACCGGCTGCGCGCCGGCATGGCAGCGTACCGCGTGCTGATAGCGCTAATAATGCCAAGGGCAGTCGCGTCACACAGCGCGACACGCTGCGACACGGTGCGACAAGGCGCGGGCGCATCTTACGTACAATACATTTATATTTACAATTTGTTTTCGTTGAAATGGTCCACACTTAACGCAAATCTAAATAAACTCATTTTCCATAGTTGTAGTTACTTTATATATAAAAATAATTTTAAACACATAAAAGAAATATGTAGTAGGTACTTATGCATATTTCTACTCGAAAGTTTATCTAGATGGTGACTGCGATATTGTACGTGTTTTCATTATTTCATTAAACATTCAATGACCGCAATTCTGTGACTCATCCTGGAGTTCTTTCTGAGCATTAACTTTGTTGACAGTTACAAATAAATTGTGTAACATCCAAAGTACTTACATATAGGTGTACAATACACATATTATGTATCTAATATGTTATGTTGATAATAAATTATTTTGTAAGTGTATGTTTTTAAGTGTGTATTTTTTAAGTACGTAATTAATATTATAAAACTTCATATCATTAATTTCGCTCGAGGTTAAATGTCACATTTTATTTAATGAATAAATTATACGGATATATTGTATAAAAAATTTAAGCAAATCTTGCGTTGGATATTTTTTGCGAATGATATATTTAAGTATATTATTTAGAAACGAGTTGAGAATGATCATCACAAATTAAAACAAATGAAAACATCGAGTCACGCGCTAAAAATAATAATGACGATACGGTACTTTGTTCTGAGCAATCTGGATATAGGTATCAGTTCATGGATACCTATTTCATAGATATCTTATGAGATACATTATATTATATTTGCAAGTATGTAACTAAGCTATATTAAATGCAAAAATATTCGAACATGCCATGCCAACGATATTTTATTTTCAGTAAAAATAAAGAATTCAAATGAATTGTCGCTCTCGCGACTTCATCGTAGTTTTAATGACACCAAAATTCTATAAATAATTATAATATAACTTATGAGCTACTGTCGGGCAGACAAAGGTTATATTATAGATTATACACATACGTTCTCGTCATGTTGACCGCTGGTGTAGTGTGTACTGTATACGACACGCCTGTTGTTTTTATGGGATATAACCAGATTCCAAAAATATATTTTTAAAGTTTATTTACGCGCAAAATGTCGGCTTGTAATAATAAATTTATGTTTTTAGTGCGCCCTTATACGAGTATAATTCAGGTAGTTTATTTTAATTCTCGCGACGACCTGGTTTTAAACGTTTAAGCGACCAAAAATAATGTCACATTACAAACAACACTACTACTGAATTTCGTACTTTCCTATCTTGGCTGGCGAAGATCCACTTGAACTAATTTCGAATGTTTATAGTAAATATGGAAGATAATTATTTTAGGTAAGTTTAATTTGAAAAAGTACTTACAAAAAAGTGATAAGAATTTTACGTACCGGCGCGATACCCCCGAAAATATCAACTCGTAAATTTTAATGCACTTTAAAGATTAAAATCTTTGAGTAATATAAAAAATAGAAAATAATATTTTATAAAACGCTCTCAGCTCATTAACACTTAAGGCAAAAGGTGTGTCGTGTATTTTTCCATTTCTTGTATGGTTTTTCCAAGAGACTTACGGAGACGGAAGAGCGATATCAGTTGCTATGAGTTGTAGCTAATATTATAAATGCGAAAGTTTGTGACGATGTATGGATGGATAGAATATAGACATATGTATGTTTGTTAATCTTTCACGTAAAAACTAAAGCATGGATTTTAATGAAATTTTACAATAATATAGCTCATACATCAGAATAACACATAGGCTACTATTTATCCCGAAAAAATGTACGGTTCCCGTGGGACAGATTTGTTTTTGCTTTTCTAGAGGCGAACCCGAACGAAGCGAGGGTAAGCTGCTAGTAGGAATATACCTATTTGTCGTTGCAATATTTACCCAATTATAATCTATTGAAAGTATTATAGGGTTTCCATTTGGCTACTCTTCGTTTTCTTCGTAATTACCGCGTACCTTCAAATATTCTTATAAAAGTGTCGAATTCTATATAAAAGTTATTGCTTAAAATCTTTAAACGCTTCTACAAATAGACAAGATAAACCACTTATCAAATGAAGCAACCCATTCCGAAGACGAAAAGTGCCCTTCCGCAAAGCAAATTGTTCTATAATGTTGAATGTTTATTTATCACACATACAGGGGTTCCTTTAATAGCCCACACTATCACATGGTGATCCATTTGGTATGTACAAGCTGTACGCGGGGCCTTGGAACAAATCCAACTATTATCATCTCTAGTCTACGATTTTCTTAGGCTGATGTAAAAATGATGAGATGTATGCCTGCAACACATTGGGTATTTCGACGCGTACTTATACAATATACACAATACACATATAGTATAACTATTTCAATATTTCAATGAAATTTTCTTAATTTAAGTCTAATATCGGTATACGTCAGACTCAGAGTTATCAACGATATTTAGAAGTATACAAAAAGAAATAATAAATTTTTTGCATAATATTCTAAATTAAGTAGTTCCAAACTTAGTCAGCAGAGCCCATAACTAGAGATAGTTTGTACTAATGAGAACTCATTTGAGTTCTCATTCGACACCAAATGGCGTGTGAATAAAAGCAAAAGTCGAAATGGCGGCTGGAGCAGCTGTAGTCACGTCGCAGGTCGTCGGCCGCGTCGCGCCACAATGAACGCTTAACCATGTCGCCATGGGGTTCACTCAAAGAAAACAAATCAAATACTAAATCTAATGAAGAACGATGGACTGATAGCATTAAATGAAAAATATATTTAGCAAGCCGATTACGTAAGTAATAGAGTATTAACGTAAACAAACATAAATACTCTCTTGATATTACATTGAAAATAAATTATTAATGTTCTCACTTTATCAATATGAAAATTTATATTTATTTATATATAACGCAATAGTAATAGTAAATATATGTACCTATATATTACGTAACGGATCCGGTCTCGAATTATTGAATCTGACATGAGAAATTGAGAAGCCTTTCCGTAGACGTGACTGAGCAAACCTTGTTATATTCAATAGGCATTGAATTTCACAGGAATTGAATTAGTATAGTTTTGTTCAATGCGGCAACAAGAGGTCACGCGGGTCAGCTGAATTCGTTGCTCCAAGTTTAAATGCGCGCACATTACGTCGGCTGCACGCGAGACTCGTATCACGGGAGACTCAAAGCGTCACCATTAATAAAGCCCGCCGCAACATAAACTGCATGAGAACTGCTATAAAACACAAGCCGTCTCTTGTCTCGCAACCGTCAGTCGTCACTCTCACGTCATCACGGTGGACAAGATAATTTAGCGAAGGTTCGATTAAGAGAAATTGCGACAAGTTTGAACAGATTTCATTTAAAATAGGAAATGTGCAACTGTATATATAACTATAGACAAGAAGGATCATTTTGTAAGAGACATATTATAATAAACTGTCTCCAGTTATGCCATTGCAAATGATATACCTATGTATGTTTATGGAAGTCGTGTGTTATGATAATAAGCATAAGCATTTAACAACAATTTAGATTTGAGATATATCAGCGAAGATGATATACATAATATGTTACAGAAAAACCGGTATAAATAAAGCGCAACATAATAAGAAAATGCTTGTTTTTTAGTATTGACCGAAATACATAATACATGTGTATTGTTTTTACACATTTTTCAGTCTAACTTGCTGGACTTGTTTCCGTAAAAATAATATATTTACGTGTAAAGCCATCTTTATACTAAAATTTATTCTAAATCGCCCGGGGGATTGCCCATACATTGACATTACAGACATTTACTCAGTCATCAATCAAATATATTTGACACAAAAATCTTTATTCCACTAAACTTTGACAAGCACAGATAGTTGAATTATATTAGAGGGTCAATCCGGGATTAAACTCAACAGTTATCCTTTTAAATGTCGAGTTCCTTAACATTTTCATTTACAAGAAACTCTTGTACAAAGTAATGAAGCGAGAGCGGTAGCTTTAAACTTTAAAAGCAGTAAGTTTAAGATGATTTGAGAAATTTTATTATACAATACACATATTGCATATTATTGGTCCGAGTGGATAAGAGATTGAATTTTTCAAGATGAGATCTGGATATTTTAAGCATATTTACATTTCTGATATTTACCGCGTGTCTGCAAAATGTTCTTTGGCATTTATTATATAAGAACAGAAAGAGCATAATAATTCTACAATAAAATTATAGCAGAGGAGCAAATGCGGCAGTGAACGAACGGCTCCCCGCGGAGCTATAAATTGGTTAATGTTTCGGGATTCACTAGGAACATTCATGTGACGCCTACCAGCTCTCGCGCAGTCCACGAGCTTCTGGCTTATTGTTTGTGTTGTGTTATATTTTTTATATGTTATATTTTCCTTACGACTGAGAACTACTACTATCTATTTATTAGTAATTCTTCGGTACCTATAAGTATTTATCACTTAAAGTGAAAGTATCTAGGTATGTAGTTGACTCTAACTTACTTCAATGAATTAAAAGGCATTGTAGGAACATACATACTTGTATATAGCCGTACTTATGACGTATTAAAGCTATTGTCATAAAAAAATGTATAATATCTAAAACGTTTGTTTGTTTTAAATTAATAATTAATATCTATAATATTATTCTTCTTACATATTTTATACTAAGAAGTAATGAGTAATAATTTCAAGCTTGTTCTGTTATGGTTATAGAGAACATTACCCTAATAAACTGCAAGCATTTAAAAAGAAATGTACACACGTTCGTCAGTTTTTCGAAATATCGCATATTTTGTACTCTGGTGAATACTAAAATAGGTCAGGTCAGCTTAATGACGGGATTGTAAGAAATTAAATTGCGCAGAGTTTGCTTTTAAAAATGTGCCGTAATTAATCCGTGTCACGTTTTTGAGAGCATGCCAATGGGGAAAATATTATAGAACAAAATGTTTTAATCTAATAGATTGACCCGGTTAAAATTATATTAATAGTTAACACCTTTGTAGTCAAGACATGATTGAAATTGAAGTA